GTGTAAGTCACTCAACCCTTCTGCAAGTGAATTTATCAAATTTGTTGTTGTTTGTTACTGTTGAGTCAGCTCTTACTCCTGGGGACCCCGTGTATGCACAGAACTGCCTCATAGTGTTTACACGGCTGTGTGAGCTTTCAGAAACAGATCTCCCGGCCTGTCTTCTAAGGGGCCTCTGGGTCAGTTTGAACCTCCAGCCTTTTGGCTTGTATGCAAGGGCTTAACATGCAACCAAAAACCAATGCCAGTGAAGTCAATTCTGACAGCGCCCCTAGAGGACAGAGTGGAACTGCCCCAGAGGGTCTCCAAGGCTGTCAATCTTCACAGAAGCAAACCCAAACCACACCCACTGACCTGGAGTCCATTCCGACTCACAGCGCCCCTAGAGGACAGAGTGGAACTGCACCACAGGGTTTCCAAGGCTGTCAACCTCTATGCAAGCTGATTGTTCATCTTTCTCCCACCAAGTGGCTGGCAGGTTCAAATCACTGGCCTTTTGGTTAGCTGCCACGTGCTTAACCCCTGTGCCACCAGGGCTCCTTAGGGACTCCTGTATGAAGTATAGTCAGGAATTTAAAAATATTTTTTAAAATTCATATGCCTTGAACCAATAATTCCATTTTTAGGACTCTAGTCTCTGGTAGCGTAGTAGGAGCTCTGGTAGCATAGTGCCTAAGGCATTTGACTATTAACCAGAAGCCTGGCGGTTCAAACCCACCAGCCACTCCTCGGAAGGAAGGTTGGGCAATATACTTCCGTAGTGATACCACCTCGGAAACCCAAGGTGGTATTGCTATGAATTGGGTCCAACTCGATGGCACATAACAACAACAACAACAAGTCCAAGGAAATATTTATACTTGCAGCCACCTGAAACCCATGGCCGTTGAGTTGATTCTTAGTCTCAGCCACCCTCTGCCTCCCACGCTAGACTGCCCGTTCCACGGAAGCAGTGACTGACTCCTGTGTGGTTTTGTACCTCCCAAGCGTCATAGTCCCTGGCACCTCGTAGGCATACTGCAAACGTGTCATCCGAGTTTTG